TCCTCATGTTGTGGTGAGCCCCCATCATAAAATTATTTTCATGGCTACTTCATCACTGTAATTTTGCTACTGCTATGAATCGGGCGACCCCTGTGAAAGGGTCGAAGACCACTGGTGTAGGGACTGGGGCTCAGGCACTAGGGTCTTTCCCCAGCTCTTTCTTGAAAGAAGACAAGTGAGAAAGACCAGCCCCCCTTCTCTACTGGCGAAGCTCTCCCGCCACAATTTGTGGAAGTCACAGGACTTGTCTGGGGTGCAGTTCACTCTGCTGTAAAATGGACCCCCCTGGTGGTGCATCCATCCCTCCAGCCATTAAGACTGCCCGTGCCACAGGCTCTAAAGCCATGGTTCTCAACCTTCCTCATGCCGCGACCCTTTCATACAGTTCCTCATGGGGTGGTGACCCCCCAACCAAGAAATTATTTTCGTTGCTACTTCATCACTGTCATTTTGCTAGTTATGAATTGGGTGACCCCTGTGAAAGGGTCCTTTGGCCCCCAAAGGGGTGGTGATGGACAGGTTGAGAACTGCTGCTCTAGAGAGAGGCAACCATTCAAAGCACCAGATGACCCTGGGATGGATGGATTGCAACATTTTGCAGCAAATTCAAATTTAAAATAATTCTGAGCCTGGGGCACCTATTCTAATGGGTGTGTGTGAGAGCGTATGGATTGGATTGTGTCCCCACCAAATAGGTCTAAGCAGCCCTGGAGGCACTGTGGGGTAGGCACGGGGCTACTAACTGCAAGGTTGGGGGTTTAAATCCACCAGCTGCTCTGAGGGAGAAAGCTGAGGCTGTCTGCCCCTGTAAAGAAAGACTTCGTCTAGGAAACCCTGTAACAGGGCTGCCATGAGCTCCCTCTAGAGCAACCGCTTTGCTTTAGAAACCAATGGATATAGTTAAGGTGGCTCTTATGCTCCGAATGAAGCCCTGGCTGTCAGTTGTTAAGGGCTTGCTGCCAATCACTAGGCTGGCCGTTCAAACCCACCAGCTGCTCTCCAAGGGAAAGAGGTGGCCATCTGCTTTCCTGAAGATTGACAGGCTCGGAAACCCACAGGGCAGGTCTCCTTGTCCTATGGAGTCACCATGACTCAGAAGGGACCCAACGCAATGCTTCTGTTAATCCTCACCCTCATCATGCAGCAGCCCCCGCGGGGCCGGGGGGAAGCCCAGGGGGCTAACCAAGAGGTCAGTGGTTCAAACCCAGCAGCTGTCCTCTGGGAGGAAGACGAGGCAGCCTGAAGACGAAGACACAGCACAGAAACCCCCCTGGGGCAGTTACAGCCTGTCCTGTAGGGTCCCAGTGAGTCACCGTCGGCTCCAAGGCGACAGGCTGGCTTGAGAGTGAAGCTGGTTAAGCCCTTCGCCGACCTGAAAGGTTGGCAGTTTGAACCCGCCAGCCTCTGTGAGAGAAAGACCTGCTGGCTTGCTTCAAAGCAAACCCTCTGACATGTGCATTACGTGCCAATAGAAGGATTCAACGTGAAAACAAATTAAAAACAAAACCCTAGGGGCCCGCCTCAAGGCCCCTAACAGCAACAGCTCACAGTAGGTGTGGCCTTGTGTGTGTTTTACTTTCATGATGGAAATAAGTGACGCCTCAGGCTAAGCAACGCACTCGGACCTGAACTGATCACCAGCGCCTGGCAACCATGTTCGAAGTCTTTCGAACTCAAGCTCCTGTTGCTTCAAAGGGCGGCCCCTTCTCAGCCTGGCAGGTCTCCTTCTCATTTAAAGGGCAGTTTTGAGATTTATTGCTTGGAAACCTATTCTAGCCTCCTCAGTTGGCCCTCTCCTGTCTGCAGTGCTGTGGTAGTTACATAATCTAGTGTCAATTTGAGGATTAAGAGTGTAGAGGTGGAGTCTAGCCTGTCAATCAGAATATAGCCAAGGAGGTCTCTGTGTGGGCATGACCTGCTCTTGAGGATTCTGGGAACTCCTGTATTCCTCCCTGAGAGATGTTCTACTGACAAGACACATGGCACTGTGCTAACAAACCCATGCCCTGGGAACTGGAGGAGCCACGTGGAGACCCCTGCCAGCACTGAGATGCTTACACCGCCACTGGGTCCACAAGACTTTCTACCCACTGGCTTGTGATCTTCCTGCATTCGACATCATTGCATGTGTTGCATGAGTCTGAAGAGGAATTTATAGACTGGTATCAGACATATGGGCTAATATCGGACTTATGGACTTGATCTGGACTGGACTGTTTTCTTAATATAAAATTACTCTTTACATAAAGCCCTTTCTTATACACGAGTTTCAATGGATTTGTTTCTCTAGTCTACCCAGACTAACACAAATGCCTGCTGGGTAGAGCATCTCTGGGTTACGCTAACTGGTCAGCAATGGCCCATCAGACGGTCCTTCGGGGCACACACAGATGTTCTGCAGCATCACAAACCAGCCGGAAGACCCTGTGCTTATTTCTCTTGAGCGAGCCCTTCCCAGCATCCTTATACTCAGCCTGGAGAAAACCAGGCCTCAGGTTGGTGCTGACGGTGGTGGGGATGGGTAGTGCAGCTGACCTCCCTCCTCTGCGGGGGTCCTGTTTCATGAGACAACACGGCACCATGGTCCCAGTTTGGGAAGCACTGCTGGTTCAGTCCCTTAGGAGCCCGCTGCCACGCTGGAAAAAGTATGTAACTGTTTTTTGCTTCAGGTTTCTCATCTGCAAAACAGGCACAGAGTCCATCTGAAGGCATGACCGTGGCCCCTCTTTTATAGGTGGGGGAATGAGGCCACAGAAGGCCTTCCCTGAGTGGGGGGTGATGGGAAAGCCTGCAAGGGTGGGAGCAGGGTGGTCTGGAGCCTGATGAGGCACAGTTCCCCTCCTGGGGCACCCTCAGAGCCTGCCCGCATGGGTGCGGGCCTCCAAGGGGCGCATCCACAGCAGGCTCCCACCCAGCCCCAAGGTGCTCTCCTACGTTCACCCTGTGAAGCCTTGGGGGCACCATAGCTACAAAGTTGGCGGCTTAAAGCTACCAGCCACTCAGAGGGAGGGAAACGAGGTTGTCTGCTCCCATGAAGATTCACCACCTCCTGAACTCCACGCAGGAGCCCTGGTGGCATGGTGGTTATGTGTGGGGCTGCCATCTGCAGGGTCAGCAGTTAGAAGCTACTAGTTGCTCTGTGGGAGAAAAATGGGGCTTTCTAGTCCAGTAGGGAGTTGCCATTTCAGAAGCCCACAGGGGTGGGCTTCCGGTCCTATAGTCTGGCTATGAAGCCGGCATCAACTTGGTGGCAGTGGGCCTGGTCTGGTGTGTTCTAAGATTCCGACCACCGTGCAGGCTTAGGAAGACACACCAAGCGCAGTTTCTTTGTGGAGCGGGTCGGAGCAACCCCACTGTCAACTTGTAAACACTTCTCTGGGTGCAGTGCAGGAAAGGAAGTGGAATGGGGAGACCATCCCAGGGCTAACTACTGGGGCAGCTTGGCGCTGTCAGGGTAAGCACTGGACTGCTAACTTCCAGGTCTGGAGTTCGAACCCACCAGGCGCTCTGCGGGAGAGAGATGAGGCTGGCTGCTTCCATAAAGATGGAGTCTCTGAAGCTCTGTGCAGGGCCACTATGAGCCAGCACGGACTCAGGACAGCCAGTGCCCCTAGCATGCTGGTCTGGCCTCCATTGTTCCATTGTTCCCTTAGCTGGGCACCGAAACCAAAAGTACCATAACGGGCTGTAGAAGAAAAGAGAGCCCAGGTGACATCGTGGATGGAAGACTCGGTGGTGGGCTGCCAATCACAAGGTCAGTAGTTTTAACCCACTAGCCGGCCTTCGGGAGAAAGCTGGGACGATGCTATTGGTGGGTGGAGATTTCTCTTTGTGTCGATTAGATCAAGTTGGCTGATTGTGTTGAGGTCTTCCGAGTCATTAATGACACAAGGTCAGTGGTTTGAAACCACCAGCCACTCTCGAGGAGAAAGGCTAGGCTTTCTATGCCCTTTGAGTTACAGTCCCGTTCACTCACGGGTCTACTTGTCCCAGAGGGCGGCTAGGAGTCGGAATCGCCTTGGTGGCAGGGAGGAGTAGGGAGTGCGGCAAACCATCCACGTGCCAACTGCCTGGGGGCAAAGTTTGAGCACACCCAGCAGCTCATCGGAAGAAAGACCCCACGATCTGCCTCGGAAAACCCAGCCATTGAAAACCCCTCAGCACTCTCCTGCCTGCAGGGTCACTCCATTCAGTCGCCCAAGGGTTAGCAGGCCAGGGCAGGAAGGGCTGGCTGCAGTCTGCTCTGACCTCACCAGGGGGCACCCGTGGCCACAGGACCGCGACGCCTGGCCCAGGTGGCAAGGCAGGCTTGGGCCGGCAGGTGGCAGTGCCTTTCCAAGGCTCAAGTTAGGGCCAAGCCCCCCGTCGCTTGGGAGGGAGAAAAACAAAAAGGAAAATCCCCACCCCTTTAACACCCAGCTCCCACTTGTCCTGGGAGAGTCCTCCAAGAGGGTCTCCCTGACCCACCGATCCAGATCAGGCTTCCTCTTCTGTTCAAGCCTCACTGGGGTAAAAAAAAAAATCATCACGGGGTCACATGGTATGTGTTATCTGGTTCCTGCACAGCCCCCGTCAGGGCAGGGCTTGTCTTCCTGGTTGTATCCCAGCACTAGCTCAGTGCTTTAAACAGCCGGAGTCCCAGAGAGGGGCTATCCAAGCGCTTCCGGGGTGCAGGTCAGGGAGCCACGCCCAGCACCCAGCGTAGTTTGCATGGGGCAAACAGAGCTGAAACTGGAGTCACCTGATGCAGAGATGGCTCAGGAACGAACGGACTGACCCTCTCTGCAGCCTCCACACAGGAGGAGGGGGGTGTCTGCTCTCTAGGGAGTGGGGTGGCTGCTGGAGGGGATCAGGGGGCATGGCCACGGATAGGTGGTTTTTTGGGGCCCTGAGGATGCTGGAGGGATTGTGTCACCAGGTCTCCTTCCCTCTGAGGCCCAAGGACCCACAGAGGCACCTGCCCCCCACCCAACCCCTCCACACCAGGGTGCCAGAGAGGATATGAATATAGATTTTAATCATTGTGCTGCTGCTATTGATCAGAGTGCAGTTCATCCATTGGTGGTGGATTCTGATGCCACAGTGTGAATGCGGGAAGGTATCACAGGGACCACACTCTGGGAAATGTCAGGGACAAAGGCCAGGCTTCTACAGGGAGCAGGAGGCAGGAGAAGAGAAGCGAGGAGAGAAGGGGCGCAGGCCCTGGCAGGGAGCCTGCTCCTTCCCATCATCACATTCCCATCAGGACCAGGGGCCAGGAGAACCCCACTTCCCTCCCAATTCAGCAGCCTCTGGCTCCCAAGTCCTGCTGTGTAGATGGGGTCCTGGGCAGGCCGGTCTCGGACTACCACACAGGGGATGGACAGAGACCAAAGGGGAGGAAAGAAAACCTCAGACTAGCTCAGAGCTGGACAAAGGGCAGTGACAGCAACTCAGCCTGCAGGCCAACAACGCCCTCCCTCCTTCCTGTCCCGGAGCTTGGGGGGAGGTGGGTCTTGGGTAACTCAAGAGGTGGAGGGGGGGGGGTTCCAAGAAGGGGGTGCTGGGAGAGACCCCTGGGTCTTTCTGGGCCTGAGCAATAATGGGGCCTCTCCCCAGGAGATAGCTGAGCTCTACCCTGGGGCTGGTGGAGTTGCCTGCACTCTTGATGACTTTCTGGGACTCAAAGGAAAGGGACAGCTCCTAGAGGCCCAGGGCCTGGCCCAGGGGCTGCTGACCGGAGCTGGCACCCTGGGAAGTGGCCTAGCCTGCTTTGAAGCGACCACTGCTCACGTCCAGAGGGTGATGCAAACCAGGGAAAGGTGCTCGGCTGGGGCAGCTAGGCGTCCGAGACACACAGGGCTTCCACGGCGTCGCTCAGACCCTGGTTGACACCCCCAACAGCCAGGAGACAGTTCTTGAGGACAATGCTGGAGCAGGCACAGCGGGGTGTAGGCATGGTAGGGAGAGGCTCCCACTTGTTCTTCCCCGGGTGGAACGCCTCTGCTGTCTCCAGGACTGTGGGCTGGTTCCCTGAAAGCACCAGGGGGATCCAAGCATAATGGGAGGCCACCGCCCTGACCCCCCACCCCTACCCCCTCGCACTTCATGTCTGGGGCTGCAGGATTGTTCCTGCTTCCCCCGCCCGCCCGCCCACCCCACCCTCTCCCAGCCTTTCCATCTTCTTCAGACTCAGCTTCCTTCTCTCCAACCGGCTTCTCCCAGGAGTCCCTGAGTGGTACCAATGGTTAAAGGCTTGGCTACAGCCATGTGACTAGGGGTTCGGATCCAAGAGGCACCTCAGAAGAAAGGCCTGGCAGTCTACTTCCCAAAACATCAGCCCCTGAAAACCCTGTGGAGTTCAAGTCTACTCTGACACACAGGTCACCCCACAGGTCAGACACACCTCTGAAGTGTGCAGGCCTGGACAGGGGACTCATTGATGGCTATGCCGGCTGCTTTCCCAGAAGTGTCTGGAGCGCCTCTCCCTGACTTTTCATAAGAAAGTTGCCCACATGGTCCCGCTCAGTTTGGGCGCCTTTCTGGCTGGGGTGCAGTGGGAGAACCCCCACACTAAGCACTCTCTGGATGTGTGGGAGCGCTGTGGCCTTGCTCGCTGTCCCCGTATCTGACGTTAAGACTGTCGTCCTTACAGTCATCTGTCATGGGGGTTAGTTTATCAAATCCCTGTCTCCTCAGAATAGCTCTACGGATGGCTTTCTTGGTCCACACTGGAGCTGGGTAGCCAAAGAAGAGGTGGGAGGATAATCCCCTCCACGCTGTGTTTCAGGCCCCAGGTATTGATGTTCAGCCAGCCTGATGACTTACTAGCTAGCAGTCTGTCCCGTAGGCTCTCCGGGCATCAGTTTCCCTCTTGTAAGAGGGCAGAAAGCCCTTGGGGCCCCTATGAGATGGAGCCTGGGTGAGTGGCATGAGGTCTCCGGAACCAGAGGGCAGGCGGTACAGAAAGTCAAGGTTTGCTATCCCCCAGGACCACAATGCAGGCCAGCCTGGCGGGGAGCGCCCCCCTTACCCAGTCCCCCGGCCACGACGATCCGGCCACTCAGAGAGCCAGCCACAAAGTCTGCCCGCTGCTTCTTGAGGAAGAAGGAGCGTTCCACCTTCAGCCATCCCCCTGCAGGTCGGGTGAGGGAGGGAGAAGAAAAGAGGGCTCGATGCTGACCACTCCCACCCGTACAGACTGAGCTCCAGCAGGGCGCCCCCTGGGGCTGCCTCTGTGCCATCAGGGCACACATGTGGCACTGCCAGACACTTGAATGACATATCTCCATGGCCTCCCCTCTCTCCGCCGCCTGCCACCATGGCCGCCAGCAAGGAAACACCTTGTTCCGCCTCCGGAGGGTCTGACTTGCAGGTGCAAAGCTGGAGAAGACACTAGGCTTGAGGCAGCAAGCACTGGAGTGGGGATCCTTCAGCAAAGGGCAGGGAATCCGGGTCCCCGCTGCACTCTGCCCCTGGATGGGTCTTCTCATAAAGAAAACAACAAGCAGGTGAAACCAGTTGCCTCAATTGGACTCCGACTCCTGGGAACCATGTGGATCTGAGTAGGACTGTGCTCCACAGGGTGTCTGTAGAGAGAGCCTTTCTTCTGGGTCCCGAGCGGCGGACTCAAACCAACGGCTTACTAGTTAGCTGCCAGGCGAGTGCATACTTATTTGCACCAAAAAACAGATAGAAGCCACCAAACATATGAACCCCAAGAATGGCCTGAGTAACGTGGCTTCAGCAGACGCGCCCCGGCTTGGTAAGTGGCCCTCAGCACTTTCTCAAGCACATGGCAGATGGGTGGGTCCACCGGACGATGGATGGGATGGGGGCCAGGCACGGGGACTGGCCAGAGAGGCAGGGGGCAACCAGAGGCTGGATGAAGCGCCCTGAGTGAGCTACTCACCCTGCTCCACGTCGAACACGTCCATGGTCCGCAGGAACTTGGGCTGCCGGTAGAGCCGGCCCTGCCGCAGGCCTCCCAGGCTATACAGGCGGTTGTTCAGGGTCACAAAGCTGGAGAAGGCCCGCTTACTAGGGATGTTAGGAAACTTGGTCCAGGAGCGCGTCTCGATGTCAAAGACCTCAAAGGCGTTGATCGCATACTTGGACTGCCGTCCCCCTGGAGGTCAGAGCAGGTGGGGGTGGCCAGAAGAGTCAGTTCCTTGTGGGGTCTTTCCCGCTGACTGCTACCCGATCCTACAGGAAGCTCCCTATTCAGGGGGGCCCAGGGTCGGGGCAAGGGATCAACCCACCAGCATGGCTTCCCATCAGAACTGACCCAAGGAAGGGAAGTTGCCGGGGGTGGGGGATGTGGATGGATGGGGCAGTGTGGGACAGATGGTGTGGGACGGATCACCCATCCTTACCCAACACATAGATCTTGGAACCTCGGAGGAAGGAGGTGGCAGCGTATCTCGGGGTGGGCATGGGGGCTAGGGACACCCACATGTCCTTGAGCATGTCATAGTGCTGGAGGTGGTTGTGGGGACGGAGGTCCAGGCCCATGCCACCTGCAGCGTACACGCGGTAATCTACGGAGAAAAGTCACACACAACCCCCAGCTCAGCTCACACATCCCATGGCTATGAATCAGGCCCACCAAGACCCACCACCTACCACGGCCAGGCTCAGTTAACCTGGGAGCCCCAGCACGGAGGCGGTGCCAAGTCATCTGTCTACCTATGTTTTAGGAAGTCCACGGAGAGATGGGAAGAAAAGATAATGACATTTTCCCATGAACTTTTGGAAGTCCTCCCAGGGACTAGCACTTCACAGAACACATGGTGAGGATAAAAGGTGTAGACACAGACAAAGCACCTATGGCCAGGACTCACAGGTGATGTATTGAAGTCTAAGGAGAAAGGGCTTTCTATTCTTGTAAAGAGTTACATTTCAGGAACCCACAGGGGTAGTTCTGTGCTGTCCTGTAGGATGCCATGAGTCGGGGTTGACTCGAAGGCAGTAGAAATTGTTTGATTTTGGATTGGGGAGAAAGAAGTCCTCCGTTCCTCTTTCCTCCTCCAGGTCTTCATACCTCCTGCCCTTTCTTACTGGAAGGTCATAGAGGCCCCGCTGGCCACCCTGTGCAGAGGGATTCTGGACTCCGGCTTCTCTCTGATCACCTTCACAGTTCAGACTCAGGCTCCTCAGGTAAGGACCAGATCTTCTGTGTCTTTCCTGCCTCCTCAGGGCCTAGCTCTGGGCCAGCACCAGAGCAAAAACTCAAGAAGTAGGGTTTCTGACCAACGTACTCAGAGCAGGCAGCTCTGTAAGGAGAGGAGGGTCAGAGGGAAGGTGGCATCCCCCTGCAAGCCTCAAGCCTGTGCTGCCCATTTAATGTGTCCGAGCAGGGGACCAGCGGACTCCAGCTGGACAATTTCCCATAAGACCCTTTGTTTTAGCAGGAGAGAAAGGAACAAGTGGCGTGTCCACCTGAAAGGTCCTGTGCTCCTGTGCTCAGACACTTGCAGGGTCTGAGAACCAGGGCAAGATGCCTCGGGGCGCATGACTCCCAGGAACATTTCAGTCTCCACTCAGATCTGTCTTTCTGAGTCTAGGTGTGAGGAGGCTGAAGGGGGGGGAGTGGGCAGAGGGATGGGGTCCTGGAAGCCCTTCCAGTGAGTGTGGTCTAGTGATGGTTCAAAGATGGAGTGAATGTCCCTCTGTAAGCTGCTCCACCTTCTCTCTCAGGTGGAGGGCTGAGGGATAGTAAGGAGGGGGCCAGCCCTAGGACCCTGAGAGGTGCTTGGAGGGCTGGCAGTGGCAAGACAGATTTCAGGGGATGGGGTGCCTGTGAGAAGGAGATACCACCTTCACCCTGCTTAAGGTCTGCACTGAGCCTCACAGTGCATAAACACCTCCCTCTCTGGCCTAAGCCAGGCCAGCAAGCCAGGAGGCGCCTGGCGCAGTGGAGTTCTAGCATCAGATGGAATTAGACATTTTACCTCTCTGAGTCTCAGTTTACCCATCTGTGCAATGAGGCTGGGAAAGCTCTAGTTTTAATGCCTATTGTGATGATGGAAGGGAATCAAATAGTGGGTCCCCCCAAACCAGAGCTGATTCCCATCCCCTTCCCTGTGCCCCTCACCCCCGCCCCTACCCTCAGCGACCCTCCTTGGCCCCACTCGCCTTTGGCTGTGACGGAAATGCCCATGGCCGCCTCACGGAGCACGCTCCTCCTCTTCCACTTGCCTTCATCGATGTTGTACATCTCCACGACCTTCAGGGGCAGCTGGCTGGTGCCCACACCTCCGATCACCATGATCCTCTTCCCCAGCGCGGTGACGGCCACGCCGGCCCGGGCCGTGGGCAAGGGCGGTAGGGCGGTCCACTGGTCCGCCTCCGGGGAGTAGACCTCGAAGCAGTCCATGGGGACACCGTTGTCGTCACATCCACCGATGGCATAGACCTGCCCCCCGGTCTCCAGCAGGGCGCAGTACACCCGGCGGCTGGGCAGCGGCGCCAGGCGCTTCCACTGGAAGTCC